AGAGATGGAAGATAACAGCAAACAAGGCTCTGAGGCCTCGAGGCAATAGCTGGGTGGGCTCCTTTGGCTCCGGACAGGCAGGTAGCTGGGCTCTAATGTCTCCGGACATAGAAGAATTTTATTTACCGAGGTAATCATTCCTCAGGAAGCAACACGTCCACCTCTCCTGGGGGGTCACTTGCTTCTCCGTTTCGTGCAGGATGCTTCGTCCTGCTGTTTATCCAGCTGGAATCATCACTCAGATTGCTTCACAGCAGTGCTATTGAAGAGTCTAGAATGGAATTAGATTCTCCTCACTTCTTTGTTGGTTTTTGAGATGAAAAACATGCTATCCCACTATATCATTGTGGTTGAATTCAATGGCTGACAATCGATCCATTTCCTTCTCATTGATTTAAGATAAATAATCAAAAGTGTTCAATATTATGGGTGAGCATTAATTTAACACAATTGTACTGATACTAATCGTACAAAGAGTCATTCCTTTCTTGTCATGAATGTAACAGTAAGTAATATTTACATCTAGAAGCCTAGAAAAGTTATTACTCCCTAAGAATAATGTTTGTTAATAATTGTTATTGAACAACTAACTACAAGTCACCTAGACCGCACACCTCAGGAAGTACCAAGGTGAGCCAGGAGGCCGACCCTCAGTCCAAACTCATTAAGCGAATGATTTACTAAGGTCCCAAGTCTTCTGGGCTAAGCACTTTGAAGTCTGTAGGATAATGCTTCCACACGCTGTTCCCAAAATACAAGTATATTACAAACAACCGCCCCGTATTTGAAATAAGGTTTTCAAATGCCATAAGTATCCATGGCCTCAGAGTTACTATAGTTTCTGATTGATTTATTAGATGATAGTATAGACATTTTGCAACTTATTTTTGATTGTCATTTGTCCTAATGGCTAACTTGCCCCATGACCATCTTTTTTGAAATGATGGAGATGTGTTTGTTTTCTGAGCAAATTATCATGCTAAATATCACTTTAGATATCCAAGTAACCTTCATGAAAACATAACACAACTCTTGTACAAAAGCGACAGTGCTACTTCCTGTTTACATTTAGTTAAAATCTAGTTTATG